ATGGGAGAAACTACATGTATTATTACAATTTCTATTGTACAACTTCATAAATAAGTGATATCGGCATTCAAAGACACCTTTAAAATGCAGCTTTATGTCGTGTTTTTAACTTGTTCATTTTTCCTGCTTACAAAATCTCTTGTATTATTGCTAGTAATTTGATTTGAAGTCTGATATTACAAAAGCTCTCAGAATAAAATCTTATTAAATGGTAGTTTTACTTGTTAATGTATTTTGCTTTGGCATACTGTAACTGTATGGTTTCTACCATGACTGTAGGCAGAGAGACTTTGTTCTAAGTAGTGCTGATGTTGGTAAAATAAGACAAACTGCCGTTATGGTAAGTCACTTAAAATTTAAATATCCTCTGTTAGCTATAAATATTACATACAAAAATAAACTGTCAAGATGAGGTTCGGTAAGTTCGCAAGAGCCAATGAAATGTGCAACAATTCTTTAAAGTCCATATTGAAGGTATTTAGTTGCTTGAGGCAAAGATGTCATGGAGCGAAGCCAAAAGGTCAGGACATAGACCGAACCAGATAACCCTGTGGTAAAAACCCTCTGCTCCGATCGGGGTGAAGAGCATTAACTAAGTAAGTACAAAATCTGGAAACAAAATGATCCCTCGAAAGCATATATCACAACAAAATTACATGAACATTGCAGAGTCTGTTTGATTGAGTCTGTACATAAGGGATAATAAATAAGTGCAACATCCTTCACGCCCCCTAGCACTAGCTTGAGCGGTACTCAAATCTCAACACGTAACAGTGCTGGCATCAAAGATCCCGAAGGACCAGAAAAAATATAACAACGCTGAAAGCTTGAAAAGTATACAGTGATCTAATTCAACCGATGCTGGTGTGGCGGGCTGGTTTGTCTTACATTATCGGACTCGCTTAATAAGTTACTAGGATAGTTTGTGCACGTTGATAGAAAAGTTAGCATTGGTGCAAGAAAAAATGAAATTAAAGGGATTGTGGCAATTTGTATCAAAATGTTCCGTTACAGATTAATAAAATTTTGAGGCATAAATTATAGTGTGTACAGTACATGTTGCGCCTTGAATTACCCGTAACAGAATGACATCCTACATTATGTAATGGATCGATCTGTTATTTATATTTTAACATCTTATCAGGGTGACATTGTAATTTTTACAATTATATAAAATTTTACAATTACAATGTAAAAAGATGCTTATTGATACATTGTAATGGTCGTATCCCTCAGTTGAAAAAATCTAATGAAAATATTATATTTTTAAATAAATTACTTGGTCAAGTGACTACTTATTATCGAAAAGATAAATAATAAAAGAATGTTCTTATAATTATTTTGAAAATTAATAGTAAGTGTATTTCTTGCAACGCTTTTAATTTTTGGCTCATTTTGCACAATTAAAATAGTTCTTCTGGAAAAACTAACTATTTCCAAACCAGTTATTGTTTCACAAATATCGTTAATGTATTTCCGATCCCTTCATGTCAAAAAACGAGTCCTTTTAAAATTGCTTTTTACATTACTCAGTTTCATTTTGTCTGAAACCATTATTGAAACCATATAGTTACAGTCCATCCAAGCAAAATACATTTATAAGCAAAACTACCATTTTACAAGATTTTATCACAATAGATCTTGATGTGTCCGACGACAATTCGAATCACTAACAATAATTATAGAGACCTTTTGTATGCTGGAATAATTGTCAAGAAAAGTAATGCCAAATGGGCAAAAGATGAATTTTGATGGTATCTTTTAATGTGGCTATAAAGAGGCTATAAAACGGCTAATTGTATTTCACATTTGGACACAAAGACCATGTACAGGTGAATGATTTTAAGAATGTTGTTTTGACTCTGCATCAAATAACAGAATTCACTTAGGTTTCTAAAGGAAATAATGTATGTGAAAAAATAAATACAACAACTAAATTACATTACAAGGAGACGTTAATGCATTTCTTCAAGAATAATAATACATCATACTTATTTTCAATCACAGTAACATTAGGATATTCGAGTTTTGCAAGATTGTAAGCGTTCCTTGCTATTTCAGATATATTTTGTAAATAACTTTAAATTTTTATTGTGCTTTTATAGATGGAAAGATTGTCCACTTTTCTTTATTTCTAAAGTCAAACACATCAGAGGAGAGGAAGAATGTTATGGTAAAGAGTATTTCTACAACCGTTTTTGTAAGAAATAAAATTCAAATTTCACATCTGACCTTGACGGTCAAGGTCATTCAAAGCCAAGATCACATTTAAACAAATTATCATGTCAGTTTTGTCCAAGAAGGCTCAAATCCATAATAACAGCCAGTCTGTAAATGACAAAATTATGATCATTTAAGGACATTTCAATAATTTGACCTTGACGGAAAAGAATAAATCAACATATAGGCCTTTCGTATGTGTAACGTTGTCCAAGGATGAATAAAATATGTAAGTAAATATCAAAGTAATGACAATATAAGCAAATTTCAAAAATTTGACCTTCAAGGTCAAGGTCAATTAAAGGGTTCAGATCATGTCAGAATAATTCAAAATGTTGGTTTTGTCATAAGGTTTTTTTTCTCCAAGTTTTAAATTAAATCCATAAATGAATAAAATATTTAAAGCCAGTTAAAGCAAAATTCACATATTTGACCTTAAGTCTCAAGATCAAGGAAAGATCAAATTCAATAAATATTCTTTAATGTCTTAATTGTCCCAAGGAAAGCTGTGCACAGCCATGTATAAAGACAATTCATTCATGAATAACAAGGTTATAGCCAATACCTAAAATCAAGTCAAATTCATTAATGTGATCGTCATGGTCAGTAATAAGTGAAGGACACACTATCAATTAGGTCTTATTCTAGGTATTGTCAAGAGAGTGATGTGTCAAAGTATGAAGACAATCCATTTACAAATAAAAAGAAAAAAGACCAACGTTAGAGTTTCTGAACGGGAACCACAACCTGACTAACAATAGCTCGAAATTTTTCTTCGGACAACTCCAGCTATGAATGAATTTTGAAAGCATTTTTTACGTTGTATTTTAAAAAAAAAAGATGCGTGTTCGTTTATATTTAAACTACCGTATACATTTATATTGATACTAGAAATGCAATAAAAATGAGTAATTCGACCTTAATATACTACATATTTATTTTATTAGAATTGAATCTATCTCAAATGTCTTTATTATTCTTATAATTAACAATTTACAAAGTCAATAATATTGATACTGTAGCATATATTATAATAAGTCATCTTATATTTATTCAATTTCATTTAGCTAAATGTTATCATAAAAATATATTACCTTTTTGTAGTTCTGCTCTTTCATTTAAGTGTCCTTTATTTTCTAGGAAATAAAAAAAAGTCGATTAGAATTTCGTTAGATTCGATGTCATTTCTTAGGTGTACTTAATTGTAAATGACAGACTATTTCATCGAGCGTGCGTTAAATGGTAAAGTTCTCGTGCTGTATAATAACTTAGTTACCAATGGGGTTTACATGTAATATGAAGTTAATGAACGTGATTGAAAATTATCTCAGCATTTTATTAGAAAATCTCTGTGGCAATAGCAGAAATACAATTGAGGAAAATGGGAAACTTTATTGCAGACATATACGTTTATTGGGACAAACTTATTTACCCGCAAGTTATTATCAAAATATAACGATTTCAGTTCCGGTTAGAAAGAAAACATGAAAATAAATCATATGTAAAGAGAATAAACAATTTGACAAATCAATAAACTTTAATCATATATTTTTATTCTTACAAAATGAGTGGAAAAAATGACAGGATTTCTAAAACATGCTATGTTGAATTGTATTGTTTTAAAAACACAATAGTGTGTTCTTATAATACAATAATTACGTTTTATTTGTGATTTGAAATAATTCATTTAAGTATATCTATATCTGCTTCAAAGATGTCAAAATAATTTTAGTTATATTAAGTAATTATATTAAAAATTCAATTATCAAAGCCCTCCAAAAAAAACTAACCACCGGACACCATTTTTTCAAGTTATAAGCTACGTACCATATACTATTGGATGCTATGAATATGTTCTAAATAAAAAACGCGCAAAAGCAAATGAAACTTGCGTGAACTCAAAGGTATAATTGTTTGCCTATTTAAATATAATTATTGAAAAATATTACTTGAATCATACCGGTTTGCGTGTAATATTGAAAATGATAATTTCTCTTAATTTGATAGCGTTTGATAATTAACGTATTGAAAAGGAAAATTAAAGATGATTCTTTGCGTGACAGACGATTGGAGACAAGCTAAATAGTTTTGATGGTATATTATATAACAAAAAATTACCAAAATTATTTTAAATTTTCTAATTACTTTGTCTTCGTGTTTCGCGTCTTATATAAAGCGTTATTATTAAGGCTCATCCTTAAAAGAAAAGCTTGCAATGTATTCATTTTTGATATAATTATTGTCTATACAATTTTCTTGCACTGGATGAGGTTACACAGTGTACACATTTAGTCAACTCGTCTGCATGGGAGTGCTTTTAAAAAGATTTTTAAAAAAAATCGATCAAAACAACAGAAATGCTTCATTTAAATTTTCTTTTAAGACATTTCTTAAAAAAAATATGGACAGAGTTTTATATGATTTCGTATGAACATTTATATGATAAATAATAATAGGGTCTCACTTATGACCCTAATAATATTCAGTTACATAACATTTTATCATTTCTAATTCATAATTAAGTCTCTATGATAATTTGTGAACTGGATATTTTCATTTATAAAAAGTGCACTTTGTATGTCAGTCCTGTGATCAGCAGAAAATTTCAATGAAAAAGGTGTACAGTAATCCTCTTTGAAGTCCTTTTGAAAAAAAAATGATTTGCTACCCAAATATTACAAGATCACTTTCATGTGTCAGGCATTTCATTCTAGTAGAAAAAATACCTCTTAACAGCAGCAAGAACACTAAATGTTAAGGTACGATTGGAATTGTTAATCTATGGGAAAATCAATACGAGAGTCTGACCTGCATCATCAATAACAAAAATGGCTGACACCGATCAGGAAACTGCCGGTAAATTGATCTTTTAACATTAAAACGCTTAATTTAATGCATTTTATGAAAAATTGTAGTGATATATTTATAAAACTTAATTTGTTTTAATCAGACAGTGTGACATTATTATAAATAATAAATTATTTAATGGTTATGTACATTTGTAATGAGAATCCGCGACCAAAAGAAATTTTAATTATTCGTTTTTTACTGTCTAACAATATCAAGGGATTGTTTTTTATTGTCTTACAATATCAAAGGATTGTTTTTGAATGTTAATGATGATGCATAAGTGATTAAAGGTAAAGGGCACTTTCGGCCTTGCTGTTGGGTTAATCTTTTATTTGAGCGTTCACCTACAATGTAGTCCTATAAACATCACCTTGCTAGACATTTGGGGTGTGGAGCTCAAAACGCCTTTAAAATCCATATAAAATGTATATTTGTCGTTTTATTCCATTTACAAAATCTTTCTACAAATTCAAACATGGCTCCCAAGCTTTGCCGTATACAAATACACTCCGCTTTTAATTATGGGAACCAACATATTATCAAAATGGCTCTGCCTATAGCCGACTGGTTCTCATCTTGAAAGCGCTGCGCATTTGAATTCCACAAAGCTGGGTAGCCATGTTTCAATTTGTCAAAAGATTTTGTAAATGGAGTAAATTGGTGATAATCTTGATGTTAATATTTCGCCTGATACGTTGTTTATATTGATGTTGAAGTTTAAAATTGACCATCATCTTGAAGAATTTTATCTCCTGTGTAGATTATTATGTGAAAATATTGGAATTGGAATAAAATACTGTTTTGGACGGAAGGTGTGCGGACTTTTTTCTGGCGAACATTTTTATCTTGTGTATTATTATAGACGTTTAAATATGAATTTTTTTTAAAACGGCTTATATTAAGATTTTTTGATATATATATATATATGATCAGTACATGTGCTGGGATTGTCAATATACATTTCTATTAAGATTTTAAAGGTGTTTTAAGCACCACACCCCAAATGTGTGTGATAAAAATGGGTACCCTTAACATTTTAAGCTATATCTAGGCACGCCATGTGCTGTCTTGATAAATTTGTCTTTCAGTGTCAGTAACTGCAGAAGCTTGACATTTGCATTGTAAAAAGAGAATAATCATTTAATTGTCCAATCACCCCTTAATACAACTGCCTAATTGGCTATCATCAGGTGACACATGTGATCACAGGTTGCGCTAATAAATGCATACATGTGACAAATGACATGGGCCAAATCTGGATTTTCAGCTGGATTTTGAGGCTCAAAACTGGATTTTTTTATCGACACGAATTTCAGTGCGTGTTTGGCACATTTGGTTCAAAGAATCTCTATTACCCTCAAAATCATTAAATGATAATACTTTTTATGATTTTTTTGTTGATCAATATTAATTTATTTCACCAAAAAAATAAATAATTTAAATAGATAAATAAATAAGTGTAGTCATACTGGCTATTTCTAAAACAGTCACACTTTCACATTTCATTATTTTCAGTTTGAAGAATTATAATGTCTTTTCAGTCATTCAATAACTAAACACAAGCTATTTGAAAACGTGCAACAACTATTCATAAACATAAGACTATGACAGTTAAATAACGTAACATAAGTAAAAGACTCAAAATAAATGCAAGAATCGTTCTGTTATTAAATCCACATTTTTGCCTCGATGATTGCGTAAATCAGTGCGGCACTAATCAAAGAAAATCAAAGGTTGAGCCGAATTCATACATGTAAATTTACAGGGTAGTTTTGATGACGTAGGGTGTGATACCTACTGCCAAATTACAAAAGAGGTCAATTGACTGACACACGACATGTGATAAGTTAAACATGTGAGAATAACTTTGGGTATTCACTATTGGAACTGTTTATTACGTCACCTTGCTGTCAATTAGCGACTCAACATTTAATCCGCTATAATTTAGGATATGGACAGATAACAATCAATGCCCAGAGGCACGGTTTACATTTTAGATACAGGTGCTGTGTTTGATTTTTTTTATGTTGATTTTTTTTTTTAAATATCGGGAATTCAAGCTGTAATATCGGGAATCGGGATCAGTGTTGAAATATCGGGATTTTTTTAAATCCCGCCGGGATGTCACATGTATGTAAATGATCATTTATTTTGTCGTGTTTTAGTACTCATTTGCATTTATTTGAAGACAAGTGTTTAAAGTTACATTAAATAAATTTCATACAAAACTAAATAGCGACATTTCATTAATAAATTGGGTTTTATATCGACTCCAGGTCTTATTTTGGTGTCCAAACAACCAAAATGAGTTTTATTAGCATAAAAATAGGTAACCTCATCGTGGTGAAATGGGAAATACAATTTCTGTTTGCATGAGAAACTCCGCCTTCGAATCATCCGTACATCAATATTAAATCAACAATCATGACTATAAGTAGCAGTCCTAATTTAACGGTATATTTCCGCATTGTAACGGATGTTTTCATACAAATTTAATCTTTTTACGAGATAATTACTTTTACTGAACCCCAGGTTTATTGCACCGTGAAGCTTAAACGGTTAAAGTGTGTTTGCACAAGAAAATAACATATTTGCTGTGTTCGGATAGCAACTATAAAACTGTGACGTAGCGCATACACGAGCTCATTATAGTCTTCATTTGCATGTTAAAATTCGTAAACGAACTTTAGTGGTACCGTGGGGTTTCCCGTTTAAAATCCTTATTTATGAACAATATTTGATGAAATTTACAACAATACTATCAAACAGGTTAATAAAACTGTAGAATGTTTGATTTTTAGGCCGACGGCAAAATATTTTTACATATTTATTTAATGTAACTTTAACTGTTACTACTTTCAGAGAAGAGGACAAATGTTCAAGCTGCCATAGGTGTGGGCTTTGTATGCCTGGTTGTTGGACTACCATTGTGGTGGAAAACAACAGAAGTCTATAGAGTGTCTCTGCCATACTCAGATATTGATACCCTAGCTGACACAAAGGTAACTATGCAAGGTTGGCTGTCATTGCAGACATTTTGGCAAGAGACTTTCCTTAATTAGAATTTAATGTTTTCTAGTGATCAAAGTTTGCAAACACAAAAGTGTACAGTTAACATCAAAGCTGAATTAATTAATACTTTGTGCTGTTGAGGTTCAGTCATAATTAGTGACAGATGCATTGATTAACTATGGTTCAACCTGTACATGGAAATTTTTTTAACAACAATTTGCTTTCATAATTAGAGTACAGGTATGTTTTTGAATTTGATGCAATATAAGCAATAATTTTCTGGGATTTTGCCATGGAATATTAAAGTCAATGATGATTAAGCTACTCCTAGCCAATTAAAATCCTAATCCTTTTGAACTTCTGAAACTTCTACATTGTACAGGCTCTTGCTTTACTATCAAGCAATGAGAATATTCGAGCATTCTGTCAAATCTTGATATGTGACTGTCTTTATATTTTGTTATGTAATAAATAATGAAGTAATATGTACATAATTAAAAAGCATTGACTATTTTGATACAGATCAAGTATACAGTTGATTTAAATGTGATCAGTTTTCTGGAGAAGGTGTCAGAGACAGATTTAGCTTCGTTATCAAGGCTCGTTTCTGAGGAACTAGGTAATGATTTATATTGTAGAGACACTCCTTAAAACTGTGAATTCTGTAAATGGCCAATATGCTATAAAAGTTTTAGAAGGGGTCAAATTGTTTTCATATCCTGATTCCTTATAGTAATATTTCAAACAAATTTTAAGAAAGAGTTTTTCTGGTATGTAACACAGATAAAAAGTTGGTATTTAACACATATAAAAAGTATCAGTAAAACATAGAATAAGATTCCTAGCAAAATATTCAAATACAGTTTTAAGTGGGCTAAGCAGTTAATTTGGCATAAGCAGCCTGAGTTTGTAGAAATTTATACAAATATTATTCTTTTAATTTTGGTACTTTGGTTTGATTCTAATGTAAAATGGTACATACAGAAAAGAATAATTTCATACATTTTTTTTTTCAGAGGATAAAAAACCCCAAGAGGTGACATCTCATTACAGAACTTTTACCAGAGAGGCGTCTAGCAAGGAACAACAGATTTTCAAATCCGCCTCTTCTCTTCAAGGTAAACTTAATGTTATTTCTTAGTGGTTTTCCAAATACTAGTAATACATGTTACTGTATTTTGTCAGTGGTTATGTAGGAATGATTTTTTAATGGTTTTGTAGAAATGATATTTAAATTATCAAAGCAATTTTATAATGTTTTAATATATTGAAAAAGAAAATGTTGATTTACATTCCATGGGTTTGAACATGACTGTGAACTTGCATGACTTTTGCATCAGGGCAGACTGTAAGTGTAGTTATGGAAAAAAACAACAACTTCATATTATAACGTAAAATTGTATCTAAAACAATTTTTCTTCTGGAAAGGAGAGATGGCAGTTTCAGTGATTGTCATAACAGAGATAATCGGATTATGTTTGGATGATAGATTTCTTTAAAAAACAAAAGTTGGATATTTGATTTGTAAGGAAGTTGTATTTTTATTCAATATTACAGAAATTGACTTAAAGTTATCACAAGAGTATCCAGGGAAAGCTAATGAGTATTCTGTCATATTACTCGCAGCCAAGAACTATCCAGATGTTAAAAAACCTACCCTTGGTTCACATAGATTTGTATACATTCCTGTTACGGCTACAGGTATGTGAGATGATTTTTATAACCTTTAATTTTATAATTTCATTCTTTTGAATTTAACAAACTTGTATTACATGTAAGTGCTTGGATCCAATAAAGCAATATCATCATGGATTTGCCACTGCACAATACATGATTTGTAATTTAACAGTTATTTTAGTGCTCTTTGCCAGTGTAGTATGCTGTGCCAATACAGAATACAGCCTGGTTAGATTGTGTATTTGTTAAATATCACAAAAAAATCTTGGCAATTTTTGTGCTTTAAAATATAATATCATTATCCTTAATATTAATTGTAGACTATTCAAGCATTTAAGTAGGAGTAGACTTTTTTCATTAAACAGGCTCAAAAAGAGTTGGAACTATCTACATTGCAAGACATTACAACATTTTAGGGCCTTGATGGTGGAATCATTTAGGGTCGTTGAGTTTTAATCGCTAATTTCACTTTCCCCTGCTGGTTTGAGCATTGCCTACTTGGACATTTACCGCCTCCGTGGTCGAGGGGTTAGAGTCGATGACTTCTAATCCAGTTACCTCTCTGGCGTGGGTTCGATCCCCGGGAGATGCTTTGGTAGTTTAGCGCGGAGGAAGGTAGTCTAGTACTGGTGTAACTCTCCAGGAACGATGGTTAGGAAACTACCCGCCTATATGACTGAAATACTGTTGAAAAAGGCGTAAAATGAAACAAACAAACAAACTTGGACATTTTGTGGTTCTACTCCTGTGCTTGCCTTCTTAACTGGTCTTTACTCTGTGGTCTGAGCAATCTTTGTAAAGTAAAAACGTGTGGCTATGAGCAAGCACTAAGATTCTGTCTGAAAGAATCATATGTTGTCAAAAATAACAAGTGTTCTTATTGTACATTCTTTTTACATTGAGCTTGCTTTAGTTGCACATTTATTTTTTATTTGTTTCTAGACATGGCAGTTATTGCAGAGTATGTTGCAGAGACTGTGAAAACTGCTCTAGTTAGGGAGACAACCATTTTGAAATTGTTCGATACTGCCAGAGGTGCTAGAGATCGTAAGGTAAATGTACACTTCATTCTTTTCGCATTCTTTCACAGTATATAGCCTAAACAATTCACAGAGTAGCATTGAACAATTTTTTTCTTATTTCTAGCTCAACTATCGGATGAAAGAGAGAGATTTTATACTGACCACTGTGTAAGCATTTGTATAACAGTCACACTTTGGTTAAGTTTTTTCATGCAAGTTGGTATCTCCAGATCTTCAGAAGGGAATGAATGGAAACTTCACAGACTTGTTTCCTGCATGCTCTAAAATGATGAGCACAGGTCTTATAATGCCCCTTTCCCTACTGTCAAGCACTGAGAATAGTTGAGCTAGCTATTTTATTGACAGCATTAAATGATTTATCCCATATTTAGCTACTGTACATTATTCTATATATTAAGGGTAAAAAATTCCTCCTTTATCTATCTCTCAAACAATATTGATATACTGGTAATAATTAAATTCAACCTATTTAAGACAGACCCATAGGGAAGGAACTCATATAAATGAATCAATTTTTTATTTGTGATTATGGCAAAGATTATTCAAGATTTTGCATCCGTCTGGTTTTAGTTCATAAAAGTACTGTAAGAAAACTTGTGCTACCTGTACACCCACTAAATGCCAGCCACACCTCTACTCCCTCCCACATTAACCCAGATACATAATACACAAATATTTATATAACAATTGAATTTTTCTATTTCAGCCAGATAAAGAGATGTTGAGATCTGTACGATTCCACTCAGGATATGATGTGACCTTGACCTTAGTCAATCCAAGACCAGATATACTTGATGTCAGCTGGGATATAGAGTCTGCAGTCAATGGTTGGTGAAGATGTTTTCCGTTAAAATAGTCAAGAATGCGCAGATTTTCTTACTGTATAACTCTTACAGTTTGTGTATTTTATTAACATTTTTGTATTCTGTATATCAGGGAATTCTTGACTTGATTGTACCTGGTTTATACAAAATCTGCAGTCAATAGCAGTACAAAACCCTTCAGCACTCTGTTTTCTGTCTTTGATTCCAGTAAATATACCCTTCCCAATAAGAAATACAGATTTTTTTTCCCTATTTCAAACAGAAAAAAATATATAAATATGCTTGAGATATAAAATTTGCCGTGTAAAAATATTGATGCCCATTTTGTACGAATTGTTTATGTCAAGATGATTGCTTATTACAAATTAACCTTTGTCTTTATATACTGAAATGAATGTACATGTATGTCAAATGAACATTAATTTGAGTAATGGAATATTTTATATTTCTATTTATATAGCGTACCTGGATCCATTTGTGAAATCCATGTCAAACTACACTGATATCAACATTAAGTCACAGGTATTTATATTTTAGTACATCTAATGGTGAATAACTTGAATATAGTTTTTCATTATCAAAAAAAACATACACATTACAAACATGACATGATGTATTGCTAACTGCTTTACACTTAGTAAAAGAGTCAGTACAATTAAGCAGTTCATATGCATTTATGGCATGTATTTTTAGATTCCAGATTCTTATGTTTAAATGAGCTACTTTAAAACAGTACAACCTCGGCATAGCCACACCCTGTGAGAAACTAAACTTTAGGTTGATTTTGAGAGTTTTTTCACAAATATGGAGGCATCCTGCATTAAAATTTATTCACTTTTTATTTATAACTGTATATGATTTACAGGTTTTGTATTTTACGAAGCTTCAAACGAAGCCAAAGAAAGAAAACAAGGAGTATATCTTCACAAGTAAAGATCTACCACACATGATTAATCCTTTGGAAGCTAAACTAGGTATGAGGTGCTAGAAATAGTCTATTAGTTTATACAAATTTATTTATGTTTGATTGTGTTGGAAGCTGTACACTTATTGAAACACTCTTGAATCCGTTCCTGGAACCAACCAGTACTAAGCAATGAATGTTAAGTTTCTTGCTCAAGGAAAAAACGGCTTGCCCCTGACAGTGTTTAAACCCATGTGGCTAGCGATCATGAAATTACTAGTCCAACGCGTTAACCACTCTGCCATGCCGCCACTAACAAATAGTCCATTGATATCAATATGATTGTCTCTAACTCTTACCATTCTAAATATCTTAAATGTACTTCATCTACCTAGTTCATCTTTCATTTTTGACAAAACCATCGTCAGTTTTTGGGAAATTTTAAAAATATTTTACTGACTGAATAATGAACAATGCAGACCAGATAAAATGGCACATCCAAGCAATTTGGTAACATTGGTACATTTAGTTGCTGTTAGTACACTGAGGGTTGATGTAATAAAAAGAACAGTTTTTGTTGTTATTCCTCTTTTAGTTAACTAATTAACATAGAATTTAATGAACAAAGGGAGAAAAAAAAAATGATAAAAATTTGCCACCTTATTAATGAAAAGCTAAGGAATATTGTTGTTCTTGACATGTTTTTATACTTATGTCAAAAACTTGGAACTGTCCAGCATGTTTTATAGAAAGAAACTTGTTAGGTAATCATTGGTTTAATGCGAATTTACTTAGACGGATATCAAATGATTTTTGGGTTTCCTTGTTTTTTTGTTGTTGTTGTTTTGTCAAACATTAACAGTACATTTCATTTTACAGGTTCACCAGCCTCTACAAATCCTGAATTGAACTTTTTGGTGTATGTTCCTAGTAAAGATCAGTATCCACTCTATATCAAAGGGGACGATGGTAATTTGTTTCATTTTGTTTTGATTTAAGTCTAACTGATGTGGGTATTTTTAATCTATACTAGTAGCAGAATGCTGCAATGACCTGTCTTTGCAAAATTTTAGGCAAGATCGGTCACCTGAGTAAAGTATTCTAACTGGTTAACTTCCTTAAATCCAAAATCCAAAGTCTGTTACAGGATTCCATCTTGCAACTTGCAGCTGTGAAAGGTAAATGGCTTTAAGTGTATGACATTTACCACTTAGCGACTGAGTCATGTGGTTTAGATCTTAGTAGTTATGGTTAAACAGGACTGTATTTAAACAACTACAGTAGTAAGTGGTTTAATAAAGTAAACACAGATTGCAGTTGTTACAGTCAAGAGGATGATTCTAGTTTAAAGTTTAAAACATATTTAATTTTAGATTGTTATGAAAACTTACAGCTTATTTGAACAGTTCTTGCTTCCTATCACTAGCCAGTACTGGTGTCATATGAGGAAACATGGTTTTAACCCCAGTAGTGCTTGTACCTAGGATCCCTGGTTTGAGAGGCACACACCTTAACCACTAGGTCATCTCTCTATATTCAAGTTTATATCTTATTTATTTATTTTTATGCATGTAAATGTTTACTTTGTAATATTTTAAATATGTCATTGGGGTCTTCTGTTAACTCAAAATTGTTTTTCTTCCAGGAATTTAAATGTTTATAAATTTAATTTCAGGTCAGAAGTTGGCAAGTAACTCATTTCTCAGTCCACAATGGGGTGGTATACATATTTACAATGTTGCTCAGCCACAAGAAGGTGTTACGTTGCCAGTAAAAAGCTCGCTTGATATGGCCCAAGTAATGAGGGTGATCTTGTCCCAGCTCAGATTGTTATTAAACCTTCATTCTCAGGTAGGTTCCTTTTGTTCATGCATTCATTTATATATCTGGAAAAGATCTTTTAAGCCAAGCAGTTCCGTTTGTTGACATTAAAGCAGCTGCAAGTCTAGATAGAAGGTGAATGGTTCTATCTACAGTCCAGTAGCTGGTAATACCAGAAATGATGCAAAAGAGAAGGCCCTAATGGTCTTTTTACACCAGGACAATATGAGTCAACATTTTACATAAAAGTGTTGGTGTCGCTTAGAACACAAATAAATGAATTTAAATTCTAGTTTTTATAAAAATATTGATATTGATGAGAATCAGAACAAAACTAAAAAAACGAGGGCTTGGTTCGAAAGGTTGTAACTCTAATGATAAAATGAAGGACTTACAACCCTTTTGAACCAAACAGTTGATTAAAGATTGTAATAACACCTTTATAACTTTGATGAGATTATTTATATATCTGAGAAATAAATGATTGGACTCTTTTTTTCCAGGAAAAGATTTTGTAAATATATATGCAATTTTTTCTCTTTCAGCTTGGAGGTACAGAGTTCCTGCCAATAGGCAAAAATGCTGTCACAGACTGGGTATGCCTTATTTATATATAATATAGAAAGTAAAAGAATTTCTGTCATTAAATCTTGGATGCTGTCTTGTTAAACTTTAGTCTTGAATTGACAGAAAAATATTTGCCATCATCTAAGATTGGGCCTGATCTTGTTTGACTTTATTCAGTCCAGTTCTAGAGCCTGTTTTGAATTTCAGAGAATCAAAACATGCTTTTTAAATACTTTATAAGTGGTTTTTCTTGGGGCTCCAAATTCTGCAAGTTTTTTTTTTCTTCAAATTTTGTTACGTTTTTATTTCTGCGGACTTTATTTCTGCGGAACATTCTTGAGTTTAATTGTTACTTAATCTAATGCTTTGTCTGTGCCAGCACTATAGAGCCAGACCAGCCTACACCTATATGTAGTCTGACCACGCTTTATTCTGATTATTGTTTGCGCTATTGAAAACCCTCAAACTCACAATGGTTCATTTTAAATTTATACACGGACAAGTCCATTCAACAAATTAAACATGACCATGGTTATTTGTGTATTCTTTACTCACAGGAATTAGACAGCTGGTTAAGAAGTAGATGTGTAGAAAACCTGGCCACGTCATCAGCCACATTAAAATCTCTCGCTCAACTACTTGGTAAAATCAGCAATATTGTGATCAATGATGATATAGGAAATGAGGTAATGAACTGAGCTTATGTTATATTTATTGTTTGTATTTTGCCCCAATTTCTCAAATGTGTTTCATTTATAGTTCAAAGCGGTTACCAAATGTTTAAATGAAGTCTTGACTAATAACTTGACTGTAAATGTTTAGATTGAGTGGTAAATGTTTCTTTTCTTAACACTTGAGGAAAATAGGAAAATTGAAAGAGTTATCAATAAACAGTTTTGAAAAAAAATGTTCCCAACATAATTTTTCATGGGAAAAGATGTTAAAAAAAGAAAATTTTTTGTTAAGTTGGTTTAAATAAGTGATGTATGACATAGTTTTTGAATAAATTATTATCCATGCTGTTCGCTATCAGTTTCTCTACCTGTAATAGGGTTTGTAAGCGAACAGCATGGATCCTAATCAGACTGCTTGGATGCTCAGGCTGGTCTGGATCCATGCTGGTCGCAAACCCATAATGTTGGTTTTGTCATGACACGGCTCAATTTTGTTATTGATTTATCTTACAGGTACATAAGGCAGTAGCATCAATGCATGAGTCATTACAACTGTTATCAGATGGTTATTTAGTCGAGGCATATCAACATTCCAAAAGTGCAATACTAGCCTCAGGTGAGGTTATATCAAAGATATCATAGATATTTCATATTAAATACCATTCTGGGCACCTGTGGTCCAGCCATAAAGGCCACTCATATTCACTGCTAAAAATAGAAGAATAAAATTGTTATATGCCCTCATTAAAAAAAATGGGAACATACAGTGATGGGATGATTTGTCTGTCTGTACATCTTGTTATCCGTGACTAATCCACCTGAGATGGATCACTATATGATATAACTTTTTGCTGTAACATTTGACTTTTATGATATAAGCATAGGTCTGTAAATATGCATTTTTGACAGCAAGTAAAGTGAGGGCATTAGTGTCCTATGGACATATTTCCAGTTTATATAATTGAATGCTAAAGATTAATTTTATTCTAGACTACTAAGTACAGATACTCAACCTTGTTTTATTATTTGTATTTTTCAGAGAAAGCATTCTTCGACCCATCTCTACTAGAACTGTTATATTTCCCGGAAGATCAAAAGTAAGTTTTGAAATAAGATGAATCTAACATTACATAGATTTTAGTTTATACAAATTTATTTTTGTTCGATTATGTTAGAAGCTATAAGCTTATTGAAACACTCTCGAATTTATTCCTGGAACCAACCAGTACTAAGCAATGAATGTAAAGTTTATTGCTCAAGGAAACAACACGGTCAGCAATCCTTAGATTACTAGTCTGACGCATGACAATCAATCTCCAACAGAGAGTCCAATGGCCATTTGTCTCTCAATGCTGAATCAGAAATTATGTTGGATAAGTATTTGGTCACTTTCAGAGAAAATAATAGTTACTGGTTAGTTATCCAGGAAAGCTGCTGAAGTGAAATGATGCTGAAATATAAGGAAAACACTGTTGTAAAACCGGCGTAAAAACCAAACAAACAGATTCCTGACATTGCTTTGAATTCGCATTGTCAGTTCTTCCATGGTGTATGAAAGCTACTTGTATGCTGTGAGCTTACATGACAGTGATTTTACTGAGATGTCGCTACACTTGTGAAATATTGCATGATGAGGCTGTCTTTCTGTTTTCACCTTTACAATGTTTTTGTGATTTAGAGCTCAACAAAAAATATTAAAATTGCCTTCATATACACTTAGTCTGTTGTATATGTAATAATAGTTATACTTTGAAAGGTGAGCTAGTATTTAAGGTGTCTAAAAGGAAAGGGATCATGGGTTTGAGCCAGTTTGAGTCTTTATCATGTTTTTTCCTAATTGTCCTGCAAATTGACTCAATTGCGCTTAATATAATCTGACCAGATCAATTTTAAAAAACTCATGCATCTGTATATACCTTTTTAATTGCTCTTCGTAAGATGAATTGATAAAAATAACTTCTTTTTTTTTATATTTTCAGGTTTGCAATATACATTCCATTATTTCTACCCATTAGTTTCCCAGTGTTAGCCTCTCTCTGGCAGTCATATAAATGGTATAAAGGGCTCTCTAAACCTAAACAAGAGTAGAGTCATACATTGGTTTGGTGGTCTGTGGTTTATTTTCTATGTTGGAACAAAAACAATTGAGATTGGACTAAAGAAAAGAAACAGTTATGTATGGATAACCTCCCTTTGACAGAAGGAAACCTTGGAAACGGTTGTGATATGTATAGTGTGAATCGGGAAATTTATTGTATAAGAAATAGTGAATAGACTATGATGAAACATGATTACATAAATAAATATTTCATCAGTGACAATAGCAAGACAACATTACTTTTTAGCTCGACTTTTCTATGAAAAGGGGAGCTATCCTACTCGCCCCGGCGTCGGCGTTGGCGTCACACCTTGGTTAAGTTTTTCGTACCACCCCACTTTATTTCAGAAGTATTACAAGTATGGCTTTGAAACTTACCATACTTGTTCACCATCATAACCTCCATCTACAGACAAGAGTACATAACTCTGTCAAGGTTTTTGACAGAATTATGGCCCTTTTTTGACTTAGAAAGTGTATTGAGCTTGGTTAAGTTTTTTGTACCACCTCACTTTATTTCAAAACCATTGGAGGTATTGCTTTGAAACTGACCATACTTGTTTACCATCACGACCTTCATCAACAGACAAGAGGACATAACTCTGTCAAGGTTTTTGACAGAATTATGCCCCTTTTTGACTTAGAAAATACATTGAATATGGGTAAAATCCACTTATTGCCTTAACCCTTTGAGATATTGCTTTGAAACTTTTAATGCTATTTCACATCATTACCCCCATCTGTACGCAAGAGAAGGTAACTTTGTCAAGGATTTGTTTTAAAAATTAAGGCCTTTTATCGACTTAGAATCTTGGTTAAGTTTTTAGTACCAGTCCACTTTTTGACTGAACTGTTTGAGATATTAATTTGAAAGTTGGAATACTTGTTTACAATCATGATTCCCAAACATGTCCAGGAGAAGGTAATTCTGTCAAAGATTTTATTTGAATTATGGCCCTTAACTGTCAATGTTTTGTATTATAGGCAAGCACTAAAAAACTTAAAAAATCTAAAAAAATTCATTCCTATCCACTTGTTCACTTTACCATAAATTATGTCATATAAACATTGCTGTAATATTCAAGGGTATCAAACAACTAGTTATTTTTCTCTTTTTGTACTTGAAATTAAAATCAGTAGTATATGCATATTTCACATTTTATCTCGCCTATTTGATTGGTGGACAAGTGACCAGCTACAGTGTTCAAGGGTATCACACAATTCAGTAAAATAATTCTTCACTAAATATCTTAATGCTCATGGCCATTGTTCACTTTAAAAATACAGAGATTCTTGTATTGCCTTTTACTGCAAAAACTTTTTTTATTGGCAAGCAATAAAAAAGTCGAGCGCGCTGTCTTACGGACAGCTCTTGTTATTATAGGGACAAAGATGTTTTTCTTTTGCAAGTACATTGTATAAAGGCTTGAAATCCAGTCTTAGTGAAAAAAAACAAAACAAAAAAAAACAACATTTAAATGGGTTTGACAATCATTATTTACGTTGGATCTGTTTCATTCAGTATGATTTTTAATTATTTTTTTTATGGAAGAATGGTCTGTGTGTCTGAATAAATTTTGTATAAAAGTTCATGTTTCATTGTAAGGATTTCAATTTTTTAAGGCGTGAATAAATGTTTTTGATATGTCTGCTGCAAGTCAATGGCGCTTTAACAGCCAGTAAGACCTCCTTAGGCAAGTGATCAAAGCTGGCAGTGGCGGTGTTGACTCATAGGATTCACTATGGTTCACTACAATAAGCCACATTGAATTTACCCGAGCACAGTTAAGCCACGGCAACATTCCTGGGCAGGCTGTCAAACACTTTACCAGTACAAGGATTTCATGATCAATCACAACGTAAGTGACCTGAGCCATCCAGGAATCAAACCTGGGTAGCCCGATACACAGTCCAGCGCTCTACCTATTGAGCTTACCAGTCAAACTTGAAAGCTTCTGTCTTCTAAGGCAGCTTGATAGGAGGTGGCCTTCTTAAGATTGAAAAAATGCATGAAGATGTACCAGACAACTTTCACCACAAGAAAACTGGAAAGTTGCCAAGTTGTCTTAAAAATATTGTTATATCTTTGAACTCATCATAAAAATAAGATCATGGGCTATATTAATGACAGACTTACACGATTCTTTTGAAATAAGCTTCTTCAAACCTGAAAAGGTATAAATTCTGATCAAAATGTTGAATATTTACTTGATTTAAACTCAATTTAGTTTGTTTTATGAACATTCATTTGCTTCATATAGGTAAATAATTTAAAGGTGCATGCCTCCAGATGAGTCAAACTATTTCAATAGAACCTAATATGAGAAAAATGAACTAAGGTTTTAGGAAAAGTATAAAGATTCCAGATTCATATTATATTTTACATATTCTCTGCAATTAATGACTGATTTTTCAGTATTTACAACAATATATTTCTACTGCATTACTAATGCAGTAAGGGCTAATTATTCTTATTGTGACCATTTTTTGGTAATTTACATGGATTGCAAGTGCCAATAATAATGAGCAGATTTCTAGTTTTTTGATTGCTTCACAATATTACACATTCAAATACATTTTCAAAATTTTCATGAAAATTAGCATGAATCTGGAGGCGTGCAGCTTTACGCAAGATTGTAAACTAACAAGTAAAATTACTTCTGTAAAGTAAAGGTAGCTTTCTGTGTTATTTTGAACCCGTATATTTACACATTTCCCTTGTATTATGGCTGAGAGTGCTTATGTTGAAATGTGATTTTAAAAAATGTTGCATTAATTATTTGATAGCGAGCTGCTGTTTTTTCTCAATTATTATTGTTATTGTTTTAGTCATGACTGGTGTTCACTTTATTTATTGTGTAAATGTAAAATGTTTTTGTGCATTTATATTATGAAACATTTTTTTATGTTGTGAAATAATTACTTTAGCTGGCCACAAAATCTGAAGTAATAATAGCAGCTATCATTGTAGGTCATCATCTTCAGTAAAAACTTAAATTTGCAATTTTATATGAAATGTGACTTGAGATTTAAAAAAAAAAATATTCTACTGTATCAAGTCTGGGTTTTTTTTCCATAGTTTAAAGGTCAAAGGTCACTTATTAAGTCACTAGTGCTTAATATGTTTACAGAAATATTACATGTCAATAGAGATAACAGTTTAAGAGATAAGTAGAGATAACAGTTTATTTTGACTGTAATGAAATTATGTGAATTTTTTATAGCACACACCCATCAGTGATTATTTTTTCAAAACTTTTTGATAATTTACTTTTGTCAATAAAAACCATAAAATGGAGAGAAAATTGCTTGTTTTATGTCCTTTCTCACTTGCCATGGGATTTTTCTTTGAGGATCATTGCCCATATAAAATGCCATGTGCGCTTGTCAGATGGAACAGAAAAACACCTAAAAATAAATCTATTCACCATGAGGAAGCAATTAATGGATGCAAAAACTTGCTGTGCCGATTAGAAATACATTTATGGGCACATTGTGTAATTATGAGACTAAACAATGTCAATGTAAAAATTCTATGCAAATTTGCCTTTATTGGTGCTCCCAAAATATCTGCCTATTCCATAACGAATATTATGTAACATAAATCATCAGAGAGAAAAGCTAGAAATTTTACCTTTTTAATTTGGCCAGTTCTGTAGACTGAAGTGAGCTTCTGGATCAAGTTTGTATTGTCAATAGGAAAATACACTTTCAGAAACCCTGCATTGTGAACACAATGTGATCACAGTAATAGATATATGGTGTTTTTGTGGTGCAATAAATATGCATGTTAAGCTGATAACTACAATTTTTATGAAAATATTCATTATTATCTCATGACTTAATATATAGAGGATATTGAATGAGTGTAAGTTCAATACTGAATTTATTGCACGAGTTGAATAAAATTATATTATGCGAGCCTCTGGTGAGCATATTATTTTATTCAATGAGTGCCGTAAATTCAGTAATGAACTTACACGAATTTAATATTCTATTTATCACATACCCAAAATAAAGACCCTTTAAAGGGAAATAAGAGTCATTTTTGATTGACGCGCCTATAGTATAATGCTAACATTTAGCGCGTCTTTACACTAAGTTTATATAACGCTAATGATGTCACGTCAAAATATATGCACGGCCGACTGCAATACCATATTTACGCAAAATCGGCATGGGTGTGTGATCAAAAATTAATTGCGATGGCCTTGTATAAGAGCTGAGCTACAAAGAAAAGCAGAAACATAAATTTATAAGTATGTTATTTTTTCATACAATGTAGCTTTTAATTCAGACTTTGTTAACTGTAAAACCAAAATAAAGTACAGTTCAGTACTACAAGTACAGTCGAATTATTAGAACAAAGATTGTGACTCAATGTGGTAAATGCAGACATTCAGATTTCCACTGAATATTGCAGTCAGCATTATTCTTTCCATGACCTTCCCTACTTTGTAACTATGTTAATCAGAAGGAGCACAAAATGAGAACCTGTTTTTAAGAAGAGCTATGATATGATGGTCTTTAAATTTATTATCATTCACTATGATGATGTCACTAGTGTTTATGAATATGATTAATTCAAATAGATTGCTTAATCACCATCGCTGAATACTTTGGAATCTTATCTCTGAACATCATGATATAAATTATCCCCTGAGCAATACTAGCTATGTTAAGCAACCTCAGATTATTATTAAGAACTGTTTCCATCATGGAACCACTTATTATCATTATACCCCCTCAGTTGTCCTACTCCCCACCCCAGAGCAGTTCAATACAATATCATGTCTCATCCCAGCTTTTAAAGCTGACCCCTCGTTTTAATAGTTTCTTCTTTTATCATTTTGTTGGGCAGGCATGCCTAAGTCCCCCAACAACTTTTAAATTAGCTTTCTTTCATTTTTTGTTGGGCAGGCATGCCTAAGTCCCCCAAGGGATGGACATTATTTGGAGATGGACAGATACAATTGCAATTCTTATTTTCACTAGCACATATTTCTCTTTAGCTAATTTCTCAACCCAGGGATCATCGGTTTGAGCCTTAATCAGGTCATGACCATCCTTCTTCACTGACATTTAGAACGGGTTAAGTTGCAAGAATTTGTTTCGCAATCGAGCTTAAATAAATATGTTTAAACCAGATAAATAAATATATTAACCAGAAGAATATACAAAGGATAAAAGCCAAATCATTAGTAGTCTTGCAAAACTGTAATCAGTGATAATTTTTTCTGAATTATAGTTTCAATATCATGCAAAGAATACACACTGGTTACGTTTTGATTTTCAACTTAATTTTTACATGAAAATAGAGACCCATTCAAGTACGGCGACACAATCAAGTACGGCAATACACGGCAATTAGTCATCCGTAACACGCGACAACAACAACAAATTACAAGAGAGACGCACAAAATTTAGCAAAAAAATCAGCAAAATACGTGGAAGAGGCATCATATTAACTCTGTTGTAAATCAATTACATGGTATTATAATGTTTCTATTATACTATTACGTCAGAAATACATGAAACATAAACTTCACAAAGATTGAATGATTTTCAAAATTACTTTGACTGTTGCTATTTCGGGTATTATATATTTTGGATAAGTTCCTTAAAATAGTCCAGCTTTTCCCGCATTATTGAACAAGATTAAATGAACTATTGTGTATTATAATTGCTGTTGAACAATGTTAGTGTTAAAAAGAATCCGGGTCAGCTCGGCCCTAAAACATACTCGGCCCCCGAGTCAGCTTGGCCCTATTCCAACTCGGCACGGGTCAACTCGGCCCACTTTTAAAAATGGGTAAAGGACATCAAAGGACTCCTATTGTCACGGGCTATTATTATCAATCAATGTGTATGTTAAATATACCGATTAATTAGGTGATAATTATGACTGACTTATTCATTCAAATTTGATTAGTGACCACCTGCAATTAATTAGAAGCTTCCATATGCTATTAAGTAAACACGTTTTTGTTTCATTTTTTTTTTGAAAATTACTTTACAAACAAAATGCATCTAAGGAAACACATTTTTATTATATCTATATTCACAGGCACAAGTATCGGACCTGGGAAGAAAAAATATGAAGTTATTTTATCAATCTGTTCATATTTTTTCTTCCCAGGTTCAATGATCGTGCCTGTGTCTATTAATTTTATCGAATCTGCAAGACAAATAAATAACTTTTTTTTCTCTAAATATACTTTATTTCAGCAGAGGTACAATGTATAATAATATAATGATAATAAGATATTTCTTATTATTCATTTACCTTAACAACATGCAAAGCAAAGTAAATACGTTATAGGCCTATATATTTTTGTAAAGTGGGCCGAGTTGACCCGTGCTGAGTTGGTATAGGGCCGAGTTGACTCTTTTCCATTAAAAAAGGTCTGTTTAGGAAATGGTAAGGAAAAATCCAGAGCACCTGATGGCATGCATATAATTTGTGGCTTTACTTCTCCCATATGTATCAATTATTGTTTTTTTGTCCCCTGCCTTTTTGGAGAGAAAAGGGGATATAAAAATAGGCTCTGTTTGTATGTCTGTCTGTCCATCCATCTGTCCGTCCTGACTTCAGTCCGTCCGACCGTCACACTTGCGTGTCCGGTCCATAACTTTGTCATTTATCAAAGGAATCTGAAATAACTTGGCACAAATGTTTGTTATAATAAAACGATGTGTCATGCCCAACAACCAGACCCCTCCCTCCAAGGTCAAGGTCGCACTTGCTCATTCAAGGTCAACATTGTCTATTTGAGGGGATATGTCGTGTCCGGTGCATAACTTTCTTATCTTTGAAGGGATTTTGTAAATACTTGCCACAATTGTTCACAATAATGAAACGATGTGTCGTGCGCAACAACCGGTCAGCTACCTTCAAGGTCAAGGTCACACTTGGAGGTCAAAGATTAACATAGTCTGTTATAGGGTATATTTTGTGTCTGGTCCATAACTTTTTCATAGATCGATAGATTTTGTAAATACGTGCCACAAATAGTCCCTTTTATAAGACAATGTGTCATGCACAACACCTGCATCCCTACCTCCAAGTTCAAGGTCACACTTAGAGGTCAAAAATTAACATAGTCTGTTTAAGGGTATATTTGTGTCCAATCAAGAACTTCCTTGGGATTTTAAAATAACTAGGCACAAATAGTCACAATAAGAAGATGATATGTCAAGTACAACACCTGCACCCCTACCTCCAAGGTCAAGGTCACTTTTAGAGGTCAAAGGTTAACAGTCTGTTATATGGTATATATTGTGTCCTGTCCATAACTTCTTCATAGATAAAGGGATTTTCATAGATAAAGGGATTTTGAAGATACTTGGCACAAATAGTCACAATGATAAGATGATATGTCATGCGTAACACCTGTGTCCCTACCTCCAAGGTCACACTTAGAGGTCAAAGATTTACATAGTCTGTTATATGGTATATTTTGTGTCCGATCTATAATTTCTTCATAGTTCAAGGGTTTTTGAAAATACTTGGCACAAATAGTTACAATAATAAGACGATATGTCATGCGTAACACCTACACCCCTACCTCCAAGGTCAAGGTCACACTTGGAGGACTTCAAAAACTATGTGTTATGATAACATGAAAAAGGGGAGAAAATTCTCACAAAAGTGACAGTAACCAAATATTTTTCTTTCTGTTTATGTCATATATTATGCTCAATATACAAACAAAGTTTAAATGAAAAATCTTTGTTGTTTTTCTAGAAATATGATCTTTAATGTCATAAGCTGGATTGGGCATTGTTACCAACCTGTTAAAATGATTTTTTTTAACACAAACTCTTATTCAGGAGCTTAGACACCTTACCTAAATTTGCTAATGACAGCTTTCTGTGTGTTGTAAACCAGAATTAATTGTTAACAAGTGGGAAATATTAATTGAATATAATGACTGAGTACTGATATATTTTTCGGGGGTTCAAATAAAGGCATGCATACTTGTTAATATTTTATTGAAATTCTGAATACTAGTACCAGGTGGGTTTCCATTAGAAAAGTATTTTTCGTTTTGTATAATTTTTGAAGAAAATATGTGAATAAAATGGCTATGAATCATACGTTATAAATAATGACTTGTTCAAAAGATTTTGTTACTGTAGAGTTTCAAATTCAGACTAATAACCAATTTTTTTTTCATTTTCAATGATGCTGTTGACATTCTCAAAATAACGACAAAAACTATTGTAAACCTCTATAGTCAAGAGTCATGTCTACGTCCCCACGAGGGATTTGACATTAATGAAAGATAGGTAGATAGCTAGATAAGATACATTGTCCCCCTTACTGTCACAAGAGTCAGAAAATAATTTTAATTTTATTTTTACAGAAGCCAAGCTAACAAGGATAGGGGATTTTGATGTGACAAGATGGAGACATATTTAATGATGTTATATGTGACATTAGATCAAGAATCAGCCCTTAAACAGCTCTTTGATGATAATGGCTGGCCATTTTGTAAGCTGGGTAAATTAATCTTTTACTTTAGAACAAAATTTATACTACTGGATTACTGGACAGTAATTTTCTCCTAATAAACATACATGATAAAGGTATCCAGTGTTATCGTTTTGAATAAAATAAACTACTGGCGATCAATATTAGACATTTGAGCCGCGTCACGACAAAACCAACATAGTGCCTTTGCGACTAGCATGGATCCAGACCATCCGAACAGTCTGATCAGGATCCATGCTGTTCGCTATCAGTTTCTGTACTTGCATTAGGGTTGGATGCGCAGGCTGGTCTGGATCCATTCTGGTCGCAAACGCACTATGTTGGTTTTGTCATGATGCGGCTCATTTGTATAATGTATTATTATGTGTATTATATTATGTATTATTGTTTTAATTTTTATTAAATGAAGTTTTTTTGTCATTCAGCTAAGTTCTTGTCATGATTTAGGTTCAACCATAGTGTTGCCTAGTATAAATATCAAGATTTATTACAATTTACATGTATTGTATTGTCACAAATTAAAATTCTTAATTAGTTTTTTGTTAAAATCGTAATGGATTAAAGGTATTCATTGATTAATGATAATTGGAAAATGTCCACCTTGTGGTAATCCTCTAGTGATTATCCTGCTTATACATGTATAACAGACTTAGATAAAAGGCCTCTTCTCAACTGAAATTTTCTTTAAAATCATGCAGTTTACCCAAAAATCTGAACGTAAAACGTGCATTTTTACTTCCAAAATAAGCAATTTTAGCGATTATTTTCCCCAAAATCAAGTGGCTAAGGCCTCTTCCCAAATTAAGTGAGAAAAATCATTGCTCTCAATTGTTTGATGTTTATTATCTGTGATGTTTGTTTGTTGTTTTTTTTCTCCAGATTTATCAGTTACAACGGATAAACTTGGTCCTGCTAGAAAATTTAAAGTAAAGAGACCAGCATCACCAGTCATTTTGGGTAAGAGAAAGGCGACCTCATCTGCTAGACTTGCTCCAGCAGTAAAGTTGGTGAAAATTTTAGCTGGAAAATGCGGAAAGCCAAAGGAAGTGAACAATTTACAAGTAGTGTCACAAGAGTCACAGACAAGCAGCGTAAATGCAGAAGACGAGATTAAGATTAAAAAATCTTCAAATTCTGACATATGTGATGATGATGATGACTTTGATAATAAAGAAGAGATTAGTGATGTGACGACAGAAATGAAGAATAGACAAGATGGTGAAAGCTTTGATGTGGCAGATCACGATGAACAAGCTGTAAGTCAAGATGTTAAAGACATTGCTAATAATGATTTTGATGATGATATAAACAATGATTTAGATGATGTAGGAGATGAGGAAAATGACGACACTGATGATAGTTTTGAAGGAATGAATGACGAAGTTACAGAGGAAAAGTTAGATGGTACCAATGTTAGTGTTAAGATTGAAGCACCGGGACCAAACACGATGGAGCAAAGCAGTATGGAGAATTTTCCAAGTCAAACAGTAAGTTTTGAGGAAAAATATTTTTCAATTTTTGATAAGTTAGAATTGTTTGCATTTTTATAAGTAAAGAGCACAGTTTGTTGATTTGGCATTAAAGCTAAGAAAGGCCAGTGTTCATATTACTCCAATGTCGTTGAATTTGTACTTTTATTCGATTTGTTAACTTAAAGAAATAACCTGTGTCTTATTTCAATGCAGTTTGGAACAATGGAATGTCAAATTGGTATCTGTTGCTTTTTATTACAAAGGAATCAATACTTATCATAGATTAATAATTTTGTTTAATTATTGATTAACTTCTAATCTTAGATAAATTGAGAAAATGCTGTATATGAAGTAATGAAAAATTAAAATATAAATGTGTTTGCACCACCAAGTCATATGAAAGGTAGAGGAATATGAAAAATACTAGATTTCTGTCACAGTGTGATAATAGAGAATGGGATGGTGTTTATTTATAGAAATATTGGTGAAAAATTACACAACACAGACCAGACAAGTTTGGTTGTTAACAATCTAACCATCTCCGTTTAATAGGGAGCAGTTAAATCAATTCATTTTCATTAAAACTTTGATAAAGTTTGTCAAATTTCCAAATGGTAATAGCATGATTCAATAATGCATTTATACTTCATTGGTTGACTGTTTCAATGTACAAAATAAGTCACTAGTTCAAATGTAAAGGCTTCAAGATGGCTTTTTTTGAGATCATAAGGTCAAAAGTTTAGATGTCACTGACTTATGCTGGAAGTAATTTTCCAAAACATTTTTTAATGATTTTATGGATTTCTAAAAGGTAAACTAATGAGTAATATCAGTTGACATTTTCAATATGCAGAGTTAAAAAACATCACATTCATAATAACGTTGAAATGGGAAATCATATATGATTGTTAATTGTGGTAGAAGTGGGATTGCAAGCCGTCAGCGACTTTGAGACTGAAATGAGGTCAATTTTTGTATTAAAACTTGTAATACAAAAATATATTACAGTTAAACTTTGTTTTCTTGAACTACAGTCACAGACTCTCCAATTTAAGGAAACAGACTTCAACTGTTTGTCATTGTGTAATGTCAACATTCTTGTTTTGATTTAATATTCTCTTTGCTCAGCATGATAAAGTAACAAATGTGTACATATATATTATTGTAAATGAAATGAGCTGCGTCATGACAAAACCAACATAATGGGTTTGCGACCAGCATGCATCCAGACCAGCCTGCACATCCGCGCAGTCTGATCAGGATCCATGCTGTTTGCTTACAGACCCTATAACAAGTAAAGAAACTGCTAAGGAACAGCATGGATCCTGATCAGACTGCCTGAATGCGCAGGCTGGTCTGGATCCATGCTGGTCACAAACGCATTACGTTGGTTTTGTCATGACGCGGCTCAAATGTATCATAATAATAAACTCTAGAAAGCTACCTGATTCTTTTCTTGTTTTTTATTTAATGGCTAATTGGCTATACAGTCAACTAAATACGGAAACTAATTTAAAATTGAAGCAACTTGAAACTTGTAAACAATCAGCTGTTTTTGATAAGAGTATAAAATTTTTGCAGTCAAGGTCTTAGGTTAAACAAACTCTCTTATCAGATACGATGCTGTGACAATGATATACAAACAAAAATTCATGTGATATACAGGCAGGCATTTTATGTCACTGTTTTCAGACTGACCAGCAGGCTTCGGAGATAATGCATCAGGAGCAGGAAACATTGCAAACAGAAACTGGCAAGAGAGTCCTATATACATGCAAGACATGTGGGCTACAGTATCGTAACAAACATACATTGACACAACACAAAAAAAAAATACATTCTTGGCCTCATTTTTGTCGATCATGTTCAGTGGCTTTCAATACAGTGGAAAAACTAAAACAACACAATCTTGAGAAGCATTCACATATGTATACTTGTCAAACATGTGATAAAGAATTTACATGGAAAAATGCATTATCTGTTCACATTAAAACTATACATGAGGGTGGTGAGCGTTTTCCGTGCACGTGGCAAGATTGTGATAAATCTTTCTATCGCCAGGATGTGTTGAAAGACCACATGAATAAGCATACAGGCTTGCGACTGTACTCGTGTAAGAAATGTGAGAAGACTTACTCCAGTAAAACGAGTTTAAATCATCACTGGAAAGTGTGTAAAACAGATGGACTGTTGTGTACAAAATGTGGGCAGGTGCTGTCATCTCGGGGTTGTGTAAAAGATCATAATTATTCAAGGAATGCATATTAAGACTCCGTTGATATGTGTGTGCGGACAAGTTTATACATGGAGAAATATGTTATCAACACATAAGAAAAATTGTTCAGTGTTACAAGGTAGTAAAAAAAGCTTAGACAAAGCTGAAGGGAAAGAAACGTCTTAAATGTACCTTAACTTTAAGCCTGCTGGCAGCAAACTGGATACACCTATACAACCAATGCGCACCAAGACTAGCTGCCATTTCTGTGCCCTCTGATAATAGTCTGCACGTTCCATTACTCAGTCAGTACTTATTTTGAAATTTTCCGAACTGAAAATAAGCTTACATCTTGCCAAGCTTACTTAATATTTGTATATAGGGCTTATATGTATACATGTAAAGGGAGGCAATGTATGTCGTTGTTTTTTAGCTCGACTATTCGATAAGAATAAGTAGAGCTATTGTAGTCACCCGAGCGTCGGCGTCTGCGTCGGTGTAACCACTTATGTTAAAGTTTTTGTAATAGTTCAAATATTTTCAAAGTCCATTGACATATGGCTTTGAAACTTTGCACACTTATTCACCATCATAACCCCAACCTGTAGACAGGAGGAGGTAACTCTATCAAGCATTTTGACAGAATTATGCCCCTTTTTTGACTTAGAATTTATGTTAAAGTTTTTGTAATAGTTCAAATATTTTCAAAGTCCATTGACATATGGCTTTGAAACTTTGCACACTTGTTCACCATCATGACCCCAACTTGTAAACAGGAGGTGGTAACTGTATCAAGCATTTTTTTTTACTATCAAGCACTAAGAATAGTCGAGCGTTGCTGTCCTACCGACAGCTCTTGTTTGTTGTTCTTTTTGTGTCGCCTTGAAAAAGGCGACATATAATAGGGATTACTTTTGTCGTCGGTGTCGGCATCCCGTTAAGCTTGTCCGGAGCATAAGTCAGTCATTATGTGTTGGATTGACTTCAAACTTGGTATGCATGCTTCTTATAATGACCCGAAGTGCAGTGCACAAGAACTGGTACTCTGCATTTCTTATTTTTTGAGTTATTGTCCTTTGTTAATTTTCATACTTTATTTTTGTCCAGGCCATTTCTCCTAAAGTATAAAAGCTATGGACTTGAAACTTCATAGAATGATAGATCTCATTAAGAAGAAGTGCAGTGCACAAGAACTGGTACTCTGCATTTCTTATTTTTTGAGTTATTGCCCTTTGTTTTTTTCATACTTTATTTTTGTCCAGGCCATTTCTCCTAAAGTATAAAAGCTATGGACTTGAAACTTCATAGGATGATAGATCTCATTAAGAAGAAGTGCAGTGCACAAGAACTGGTACTCTACATTTCTTATTTTTTGAGTTATTGCCCTTTGTTAATTTTCATACTTTATTTTTGTCCAGGCCATTTCTCCTAAAGTATAAAAGCTATGGACATGAAACTTAATAGGATGATAGATGTCATTAAGAAGAAGTGCCGTGCACAAGAACTGGTACTCTGCATTTCTTATTTTTTGAGTTATTGCCCTTTGTTAATTTTCATACTTTATTTTTGTCCAGGCCATTTCTCATAAATTGTAAAAGCTTAAGACTTGAAACTGAATAGGATGATAGATCTTATTGATAAGAAGTGCAGTGCACAGAAACCGCTGCTCTGCATTTCTTATTTTTTGAGTTATTGCCCTTTGTTGATTTTCAAATTTCATTTTTGTCCTGGCCATTTCTCCTAAACTATATTGTTCACAAGGCGACACATCCGACTCGCGGAGTTCTATTTTGTTTTTAAATTTTACTTTTTATTGAAGATTTATCGTTAAGGGAAATTCCCAACATTGAAAAATGGTAGAAGTTTTCTGTTCATTGGTTTCAGGAATTTAAGAGTAATGGAAACTACATAAATATGTATAGATTTGATGTGTAGTAAAAACTATATTTCAAAATAAGAGGCATAAAATTCAATGTTCTATCTGTTGTTTGTTTCCACATAGTCTATTACATGTATATAAAAAATGCAGTGTGTGGAAAAACCCAGTAAAAAGTTAGTAAATTTCATTTTTATTTGAAATAATAAATATAGAACAAATAGTTACCCTTGTCTTGTTATTCCTGTTTCAACTGGAGGGGACTACTAGTTTACATTCGTCCATCAGCCTGAAGATTCTGGATCCAGTCATAACTAAATACATAGAAAAAGCTAGGTTGATAGAACTTGATATGTGGACAGAGAGCCATATGGAAGTTATGCATGTCAGTTTATTTTTTCATTGATAAGTCAGACTGTCTGTCTGGTAAGTCCCAAGAATTGTGTATCCTGCAACATCTAAAACTGTAAAGAAGCTAGGTTGATCATACTTGGATTATGGATAAATTAAGGGCCATATGTAGAATATTTATTCGGCCTCTGTTGTTACATCTAACCAAAGAAACACCCCTACTAAACAGTGGCTCTTTCACATTTTGGTGACCTGTTTAAATGAGAGCCATCAACACTTACATTGTAGAGGGTTTTCAGTATTGAAATTGCATCTCAAATGATGAGAAAAATGTTCTATGTGGCATAGCATTCTTCGATTTTTTAAAAAAAATGAGTTCCTTTTGAAATGGATATTTAAAATTATAAACTGTGATTTTCTGCTTTGTTTTGGTTGATGGCATTTAAACAAATCACCAAAATGTGAAAGAGCCGCTGTTTAGTAGGTGTAAAGAAATCCTGATCATTCCATAACTCATAAAGTACAAAAGCTAGGTTGATGATACTTGGCATGTAGATAGAGGATCATATGAAGGTTATGTCAGCATGATTTTTACTTTTTTATCTATCCGTCTATCTGTCTGTCATCCGGGATTTTATTTAGGTACATAGTTGTCTACAGTAACAATAAGTAATTGTACTTTTTTTGTTCATTCTGTAATCTTTTACATGGTTTTGTTTTCTCTTATATGACTTGACTTAACCTTTCTCATATATGCTCGAGACATCGAAACAAAATGCATTTTTGGACCCCTGTACCCCCCCTGGAAAAACCAATAAAAGTTGGATTCACACATTGAAAGGCTAAAATGGTTCTAATGTATACATGTAGGTGAAACAAGCAATTTTCTACAGAAAGCACAACACATTTGAGTTAAAAAAAGGAAGACCTATGAAAATTAGTGGTGATATTGTGCAGAGAGTGTTGTCCCAGCATTGAAGGAAACATCACTAGGACACCAGGATTTGCCAAGACTAAAGAACTGAAACAGGCAGTGCAGTTGTTCAACCTATCCTTGCCATCTAAGTGGTTATCCATACATTTATGATCTAAATGAACTATCACAGAAAATGAATATAACTTAAGGGACTGTTTTTTTGATTATGACAGAATTATGGCCCTTTGTGAACTTAAAAAATTCTACTAGGAAATTCTGCTGTTATATTTTCCACGCTATTGTTTTACTATCAGGCACTGGGAAAAGTACAGCACAGTCTTAAAGACAGCTTTTGTTAAATGTGAACTAAATTTGTTTGTTATCTATTTAGTGTTGAATAAACAGTCTTAAATAAGCAAGCAATTATGTTGAAAAATCTGTTAAGTGTAATTCACATAAACTATCATCTTTACTATTTAGGACCTTTTTCAGATATTCTATTAATAATATCAATGGAAATGAATTAAACAAACTTGATTAGAAGCAACTAAAAACTGCTTGAAGATTTGCTCACAGAATCCTTCTTAAAAGTTATCGTTCTTGCAATATTTAATTATCAATATGTATGTGAAAATATATTTGCTATCTCTCTTCAGTTTGACGATGAACAAGATTCAGATGACGGCAAACCAATCGAAAGTCAGGAAACAGTTGTGAACAGGTTACTATCACAAAGTCAACAGCACGGTCAGCAATATAAATGCTGTATCTGTGGTAAGGTGATTAAGATCAAGTATAACATGAAGCGACATCTGCGGACACACCTTCCTGATCAGATAAAATGTAACTTGTGTAACCGTTTCTTCGAGAGTCGTGAAAAACAAGAGGAGCATGAGAAAAATAGGCATTCGAATCGTCACATGTGCGAAACCTGTGGTATATCTTTCAAACGTAAGAGCGATTTAAATTCACACATGATTAAACATGAAAGCGCATTTGTACAAGAAACTTCTCCGAATTGTTTTAAATGTATGCATAAAGGTTGCGGTAAATTGTTTTTCCGCCAAACAAACTACGAATATCATTTAAATACTCATAGTGGCATTAAACCTTACGAGTGCTCCAAGTGTCTAAAGCTGTTCCATTCTAAATACACAAAGAATGAGCATGAAAAAGATTGCTTGAATGAAGAAGGATATGGATGCGAAATGTGTGGAAGCACGTTTAAACAAAGATCCGGACTTCATAATCATATGCAAGCGGAGCATGTACAACGCGAGAAAGGATTCTCGTGTGAAGTATGTTCTCAGATGTTTAAATTCTTATCGGGGTTAATTCGGCACAAGAAAGATAAACATAAGCTCTCGGATGCTTCTCAGCAGACGGACACTACTGCGGTTGAGACGATGAAAAGCGAGTCTGCTGTAGAAACGCAAGCAGAAATAATAACACCAACTAGTAACACTGCTTTTATTGTTGTAACTGATATTGAACCTGAGTCAAAGAATGATTTAGAAAGTGTTAACAATGCTGATGACATTACTGTGAATACAAGCGTCGTGGAAGATATTTCCGAGGCCAACACTACAGAGATTATAACAGCAATGTCAGAGCAACAAGTGATAGAAACTGGTACTGATATAAATATAGAAAGAGTGATAGTAGTTCATCAGGTAGCGAGTGAACTCCCTCAACATTTAGACGATGTTAATCATTAACTAAAACAGTTTTTAACATATTCATGAAATATATATACACTTGTCCAGGATAGGAAAAGTTTTTCCTTTTACGATCATTTGAAGTGCATGCATTATGCACCAGCAGCTTTGTTCATAAAGGATCAGGTTCTAACTTCATATTTTTCATACATGATTGTACTTTCAAAATTTCTCCACATCTGAAAAGTTTGAATGCTTAAAATTCAGGGTTTACTTGAAATGGCATAAGTTTCTCTCTCACATTGTATTTTCCTAGTAAAAGATGATTCATTTAATATTGATCTTATTACCTCAAATGGCACCCCTATTAGATTAAACAAAGGTAACTTTTTCCTTCTCAATTTACAGGCAATGATTTTACACTATGACCTGATTGTTCTTTGACGATGACCCAATGACCTCATAATCTATAGTGATCATCTACTGACATTTGGTGATGTCTAAACCTAGATTTATCCTTTCACAAGTTACTGAGGGAACAAAGATTTCACACTTTGACATTGACTTTTGACATAATCATGGGTGACAATCTGAAAAATTGAAAAATCTGAAGACAAAAATAGCTTGGGGCTTGGGATCACTAGGGCTTAGGGCAAAGTCCTGGTGAGGGGTCCAGAGTAAAAGCACCCAGGGAGCTGAGATAAAATAACAGAACAGAAAATATGGAATCATTTGAAATATACATGTATTCATAAATAAGTTAACACTTTGCATAAATTATTGCAAATCATTTTCAAATAAAAACCTTTAGCTTAAATGATATGAAAACAGGCATTTTTGGACCACTATACATCATTATCATACAATTGCATGTATGAATAAAAATACAAATATATAAATATACATACTGCATAATAACATAACACAAGAAATATTTGTAAATTTACAATAGAAATGGAGCCATTTATTAAAGTACAAATAAGTCGATAGGAAATGAAAATTCCGAGAACAATATTTGCCTCATACTTTAATCTTAATTACCTTTTTCCAATAGCCTTTATTCATTGTAAATAACTGTGATGTTACTGGTACTACTCAGGTACCCTCTTGTGCCTTTAGTTGTCCAGAATACAATACATGCTTCTGGCCATTGCTAGCTGACCATTAGGGTAGACTGACTAGTAAGGTTTTGGAGTAGGACTTGTCTGTAAAACCTTTACCACATATCTTTGTGCAGCCGCTTGCACCTGCTAACTTTACCAAAGGTAATTGGCTGTGGATTGTTTATAGATTGTCTCTCCCTGCAGTGAACCTTTGTTGATATATTTTGAAAATAATGTAAAGCTGATGTGTGTCTGGCGCTATCACATTCACTACATCTACCTGTAAATGTACATGACTTAAAATTGTGATCTAAAGCATTGCAACAGTTGAAGCAAATATTGTGATCTTTTAGTAACTGTTTTCCTTTAGACAAAGATTTTTTCTTAAATGTTTTACATTCATTCAATGTACGAGTATCTGCATTTGCATTAAAAGAGCAAGACAGTGTTATGTTAAAAACCTCAGTTTTATGTACACTAACTCTGGTTCTGACTAAATATATTATCTCTTTTGGGCAAAAAACAAGATGCTTTACTTTGCAACTTCATAATTTACACAAAAGCTGTAATTTACCATCTTTTGCAGTGCCAACAGGATGAATGTGTTCAATGTCGACTTTTGAGATTGGTGGACTGAGGTTAATTTTCTAACTACATATGTCAAGTATAATGTTTTCATAGCTAACTGTGGCAACTGGTTGATTGGTTATGTCGGATGATTGGTTTGTGTGAGCAGAATTGTCCAAAGGTTTCTTTGATTGGTTCTCAGAAGATGCGTTGGTATCTGTAGATATTTCTCCAGGGTCAATTCACAACATCCATACACGTTTAAGTTCGGACCACCTCCATATGGTAGTAATTTTGGTAATTTCAGCTTTTACATTTAAGGTTTTCCTAACCTGTTATATGTTTTCTCATCTAAAATATTGACACTTGACCCGGTGTATACTGTCATTTGAATATGTATGTCATTTATTTTCAATACCGTTTTTGGAGGTATATCTCTACCAATGTTCTGTATTTGTACACTTTAAGAGTACTCGTCCTCTGAATTGGTCTGTAATTGTTGTTCACTAGCCTCGTTAATTTTTTTTCTGTCTGAAGCAGCGGCTGAAATGATTGATCTTTTTACAAATATGGCATGTTTTACCTTGCGCGGGACATGGTGTATTTCTGTGCAGGAATTCGAAACCGCAATTTTATGCATTTATTGGTTGTGTTGCCTCAGTTGACCTTTTTTCCTGGGTTCTGATTGACAGGGACGTGTCTTGCTCGGCCGTGATTTCGATGGGTGTTGCCTCTCCCAGATATGGCAACATTTTGTTATGAAAATTTACTCACTTGTTGTACTCCATTTTGAGATAATTTCTCGGTATCTTCCATTTTCTTTGCTTGTATTCCGACTGTTCTTACATTCTTCCTAACGTAAGAATGTCATTGAGGCTTTGTCCGGTTTCCTTAGTGTAGCAACCCCAGCTAAAATTTTAACTTTTTTACAATGTTTTTTAAGTGTTTTAATGATAGTATTAAAACAGACTAACTTAGGACATTTTATATATTGGAAATACATGTATCTTAGAAAATACAAAAGTTATGAAAGTTTGAAGTTTGTGAAATGTCGTGATTTTCTTGAACATTGTACCGATATATTATATAGGAAAATGAATCAAGTTAATTTTTATTAAAGATTTCATAACTTTTTTATTTTTCAAGATAGTGTAGTCAAACTTGGCAATCTTATAGAATTTAATTGTAGATTCCATTTCTGTACTCTGTTTTAATGTGTGAAAAACACTATTGACTGAAACTGAAAGAAATATTCATGATATTCATAATGAAAAAATAACATTTTTTTTCAATTTTATTTTCACCGATAACAAGTTAAAATCATACACAATCATTCATTTCATTTTCAAATCAAGTATATCTATCTTTTAAATAAGTATATATCACAGTGAATCTTCAATAAATACATATAATCACTGTCAGTTAATGATTATTCTAAAGTTTGTACCACTCTAAAAGTTCTAGTAATGACAAGTATATTCTTTAGTAATTATTTCTATAATCATAACATAAATTGGTAAACAGTCATAGTATTCTCTTCAAATTGTCACAACTGTCATATAGTGCTAACTGTTTTATGTTTAAATCACTTTACATGTGCAAATCAGTTTCATTCAATGTTAATATTTTGTCCAATTGATTCATCCACTTTTTTCAAGAGAGCACGTTTAGCATGTAATTTTTTCGTCATTAAGTTGTTTTGTTTTCGTACCACATTTTGTTTGTATTTCATCAAGTTGATATGTTCCCCTGAGCTTGGAGGTGGTTCATTTTCACAGAGACCCTCTGTCTGAGACATTTTTTCAACAAATTTCTTGTTATCATTCTCATTACTTAACACGCTTTTATTCTGTTGGAACATAAAAGTCACATGCTCAGTTGACAAGATGGGGGATAGGGAATTAGTAGCAGCACATTTTGACTTGGGACATTCAAAATTGCTTTTCAGCAATTCAGTCACATTTTTAACTCCTTTCACCTTCTTCTTATGGAGTAGTTTACTGTTCTGATTTTTAAATAGTTTAATTTGTTTACAATTGAAGCCACTGTTGCTTCTAAAGATTGAGGATTAATTTCAGCAAGAATGTTAGCAAATTGAGCAGGCTTGTATCCATGTGTATCACAGAAGGCTTTTAGTTAATGCTCGCCGTCTTAAGTGATTAGAAGAACAGTGTTGAATAAGTTGTTGAAGAATTTCACTGTCTGTATTTGTAAATTCATAATTATTAGCTGAAGTTCTTAGTTCAGTCACATATTTTACGTTCAAAGTTTGATGGTCATCCTGTTTACATGATCGAAAATTATAGATTTCCATTTGTTTATACTTTTTTGCCGAGAAATATTCATTTAGCACTGTTTTGGTTGCATTGTACGTCGGTGCCATATCTTTCTTCTCGATGTCATATATTTCAAATACTTTCTCTCCCGCATTACGAAGAAGTAATGCACGTTTTTGAGAGTCATTTGTGATTTTCATACCGACAAACAAATTTTCTAATCGTCCTAGCCATTTTTCCCAGCGAGTAACAGCATTTGACTTATCCCAATCTACATCAAAAGAGGGAAAATTTGGAAAGTTATTCATCTAAATCCCCGATGAAAATTATTCCACTGTAGAAAATAAATGTTGTGTCGTTTGTTAACAATATCCTCGGCGCCAGATGTTGTCCTTATATCATATATATCCAGATTTATAAGAAAACAATAATAGTTGCCTCTTTTATTCCATGTCCAGGTATCACCGGAAGTACATGTATATATATCATATTGCATATCTTTTTATAAACCAGATTACAACAATACAGATTTAAGTTACAACAGATCTGAAGTTAAGTTATTAATTGCATCAACATGTTTATCCAACTTGTCATTTAGGGGTTAAAGCATTGTTTCAAATATAAAAGTCATATTGTGACAAATAGCTTTCATTACCTCGGGGCTACATATAGCAGATTTTACTATATTTGACATTTCAATTGAGTCAGACGTATTGCCAGTGTGTACTCCCCAATTCAAATATCTGTCATTATGTTCATCCGATGGGCTCAGAATGTACAAGATACTGCATTAATAGATCAAACTCTTCAGCAGGCAGTGCTTAAAGGTTTTTTAAGATGTCGAGGAAAGCTTTTTTCCAAATTCCTTAGTGCTCTGATTTCTTGTCCAACTTGTAAAATCACTCTGTTAATTACTTTCTCTTCAATAGGTAATTTGAGATATCTGAATCATTTTTGACTGAACTCAATGGCTCTGCTCCAGGGTCCGAACCAGATGTGCAGTGTGGCTCCAAACTGTTTTTCATTACAGTAGTCTGTTGAAGATTTGTAAAATAATCAGCAGTTTCCAAATTAGTCCCTACAGAAGGTTCTACATTTATTTCCGCTAAATATACTTTGGGTACAGCATTAGGTTTTATGTCTAACTTGTCCATGTCTATCTCATGCTAAAAAAAGCACTTGGTTTGACCAAATCTAATTTAGCATTCCCAACAGGAATTAATGGATTCCACTTTGGTAATAACAGTCACTGTTCTGTCCATATAAAAATTGAGGCTTACACTTGACTCCACTTTCAAACTCTTCTTCTTACACTTTTCGACTTGTGCCATCATAACGTCTTTTACCTCCTTAAGCACTCTTTTTCTGGTGATTTGAGACTGAAGTTTCTGACAGGGATACTGGGTACAATTGACTTGCCTGGTGTATGCAATCAGAAAATCCTCCAATCAGCTGTTCAGCAACCTATTTAAACATGTTAAGCATATATTATATATAATAAGTGCAAAAGCATGGATCTTTTAATTTTTTTCCTTGTTTAACAACTTGTTTGAAAAATATTTATATAAAATTTTATTTTCCAAATAATTATTCGTCTTGAAACGAAACCAGTCCTTTATCACAATCATGTTATATTTTAATCGAACTCATTAATTTTTTAAGTCCTCAAGGTTGATATCAATGTATGTTACATTGCAATGTTACTCTTATCAACCATAGGTACATATCAATATTTTTGTGTTATATTTTAAAAGCAAGCTAGATTAATTTTACATACACAACATGAAATAATTTATATCTGACTGTTAAACCGATTCTTCACAAAACACTGCAAATGTTACCTTCAGTTGAAACTTCTTGTGAGTTATCTTTGGGTGAACAGTCTTGTAGAGTATGTAGCTGTTGATAAATGCTATGTCTATCCCAAACCAGGCAAAATACGTCCACCAGCTTGTACTGCATCTTTGCAAAGAGTAACTACTTCTCAAATGGTCATGTCTGTAAACACCTCCCATAAACTTGTTGAAGTTTAGGATTGCTTTCGGACATGGCAATTCCGACCTTTC